ATAGGGGTTGCTATATATGGATTTGTTGAGAAAGCCTTCTAGTTTCTGAGTATCCCACCGAAGTTGCAAAAAACGCTTCGTAGGGAAGTTTACGCAGCTCTTAATTCAACATACAAAAGCGCGATTTTCAAATAATTAAACTTGAGAGTAGGACCGTTGAGGAAACCATCATTGTGCGCAATGCATTTGCCAAGACCACATCTTTCTTGAGGTAGGTTCAAGTTTACTTCAGAAAGCTTAGTTCTAGTGAAGTGAAAGCTAATATTTTGCAGTGTCTTGGAAGGTGTTCCTGCCATATAAACGAGCATCTCAGAGGGTTCCTCAAAACAAATCGCAAATATAGCTGCGTAAAATTATCAGCAGGCCTTGAAGTGTCATATAACCCTATTAGGAGCCACCTTCGCTAAAGCTGCTATACCGAAAAATTTCAGCGGCATGTACTCCAAAAATTGTCGCAGGGAGGCGTGCAAGTGTTACCCAGCCAGCCGCCTGGTGCCGCGGCCAGCCGCCAGAGCTGGCACCAGCGTCGTGGCTGAGCTATCGTAAGCGGTCCGCAATCTCTCGCAGAGAGATTTTCGCAGCAGTTTCGCATCTCATCGCGCTAAAATGCGAAAATTTCCTCAGAGGTCGCGCTACTGCCACATATTATATATCGATCAAGACAGCGGAAAATTTGTAGTTTATTAGTAAGATACTTCACAGAAATTATATATATATACAAAAAATACATACATACACAAAATATATATACATAAATATATACAGAATGTAGGTTCTGAGATTGAGAAATTTCCGAAAAGGTTCTAGCAAGCAAAAAATCAAAAATTACCTTCAGAAGCGACGGATTTTCAACATACGTAATTTGAGCAAGATGCTCAGACTGAGGACTGTATGACTGAAAATTAGACATTTGGAATCTTAGCTTTTCTACATCATCTCACCTTTTACACATCCATATGTGGCACAGTTTTTCTAATATCTGACCTACTTGCTGTTAGGATTCTTCTTCTCCAAATGTCACAACGAATTGTGCCAAAAAAACTAATCAATGATCATGATCAATGATTAGTTTTTGATGATGATCAATGCATTTTTCATGATCAATGCAGTGTCTTACCAGAATTTCGTTTTCGAGATTTTCGTATATTACAAGCCTATAGGACCCTATGTAAAACCTTAGGGGGTTTGAAACCGCACGATTTTCCCAAAAACCCCGTTTTCTGGAGGCCCCGAGCAAGCACCGTGGACGAGCTGTACCCCCTGCGCTCCTCCACGGCAGGGCAGAGACGCAGAGTGGAGAGGTAGTCGTTTGAAACGTCGTCATAAATTAAGACATTTTCGCAATTCGGTAATCCATCCATAATTCTCTTCTCCGTCATTCTTGAGTAATTCTTTATGATGTAAGGTTTCTCATTTGCTTTCTAACGAGACGGATGATTACATTAAGACCTTGAAACTAGATTTGCACAAGCGGTATAGGTGATGGCTGTGTGCAACACCCTCGGAACTTGTATCGTACGTAGTTTTCTCGTATGCATCGTTTCTTGAATGTAGCAGCGTTTATGCTTAATGTTCAGGTTATCGTAGAAGAGTGAAGCGGTTGCATACTCCGTTATACGATGATTAGTTCATTCATATCAATGTGTTCAGGTGAGTATTGTATTCAACTTGGAAATTGGTCACAAAATCATGATGGTACTACAAGTCACTTTGGGCCCATCTATTCCTACCGGGCTGGCTGCGCGGGCGGTCGCGCGCGGCGTCCCATTCGCATAAGGGCGCGCATTTGCTCGCATGTGTGCGACATTGCCTTCATCGCGCTTATCGGCCGAGGCATATTTAGGGGAGTTGTGAACAACTTCATTACAGCTAGTAAAGAAGTATGAAAAATCGGTAGGTTCTTGAAACATCGTAAGTTAGTTACTCTGAGCAGTGGCCGAAGAAGCTCTGCATGTTTAGCAAAGTCTTTCTTTTTTCTTTGAGATTATTGTTGTGGTATATCTGTCGCCTATCTTTACATAAGTGTCAAGGCTGTTAATACTGTATAGACCTCGACACAGCACCCAACTGACATGGCGCGTCAAAAATGCGCACCTGGTGTGCGCACACCGCGCACTAGTAAATTGGCGCCTAACAAAATAAGAATTTCTTATTTCTCCTAATCTTAACGTGATTCGACTGGTTTGCCTCCTGAAGGTGAGTTTTTCACAATTTCACAATTTTTTTCCTTTTTTTAGAGACCTTTTTCCTCTTCTCTTTGTTTCTGTTGTTCTAGTTTACTTTAGGAGATTTAGAGGATCATCCCATCACCATGGAACTCGAGTAAGTTACTTAGTCCGTAATATTCTCACATGATGGTATTATCCTCTGTCCTTAATTGTCTTCACATTTTTATGAATATGTGAAACATTTGACGGGTGGAGGAGAAACCACAAGTACTTTTCACTCTGCATATTACTTCTCTTACCTTCTTTAGTAGTCTTTTCATTGGACCTCTTTTTGTTTTTCTCTTACAATCCACCAAGCATTATCAGCATTGGTTTGGTGGAGGAGAAGCTACAAGTGCTCTTCAGTCTGAACTTTCTGTACTTACCATTTTATTTATATATCTGAACGGATGCACCTCTTTTTAATAGCTTGAGATTTATTGATTCATGCACTCGCTACTTGGACCATTAGAGATTGGAGACGATGACGACGATATCATGAGAGATTGGAGACGATGACGACGATATCATTAGAGATTGGAGACGATGGATATCAGACAGTTGACCCTAGATGCGAGACTGACGTTGCTCCTCCCTTTAGGTATCCTCTAGCTACAGAACACGGAAAGAAACATGCTTTTCGAAGAACTTTATGTAGGGGTATATATGAGCTCATTGTATCAACATTATCTAGCCGAGCTAGACGCTATTAACTTGTTTACTAACTTTACTTATGCCTACTTCCAAAAATGGACATCACAAGGTAGTTTAAATTGTATCACCTTCTCGAGTGTGCTAATTGCCTTCACGCGTATGACTTATTTACAGCTCCACTAATGCCAATGCCAATGTGTGCCCTGTAAGTTCATTCGATTTGGGCAGCCAGCTGTACAGACACTTAATCTCAGTACATGCTTACACCAAGGAACAGATAGAGACTTTGAAAGCTGAGAAGGGGAGACAGAAGCTGAGAGCTGATGGAAAAGCTGTGCTGACCTGTGAATACTGTGAAGTTTCATTCTCTAATGAAATGGCCCTTCAACGACATAAGAGGACGAAACATACTGAGGACTATTCGAAGCGCACTATAAGCTGTCCTCTGTGTACTAAAGAAGCGATAGTGAGTCTTTCTTCTTCTCCAATTCAGTTCGCTTCGAATTTACCATCCAAGCAGACCATCAAAAACTTGCCAACATCCTCGAATTTTCAAAATCTTGCTGCACTGATTATCATTTTTCTTCTCGAATCCAATTCACTTCGAAAATTTGCTATCCGTATAGAACTTCTCAAACATTGTTATTCTCTCATAAGATCTCTTTTTTCCTGATATTGTTCTCTTCACGATACTATCCCACAGCCCCGACCCAAAAAATTGAACATCTCAGGTTTCGTTGAAATTCCGTGTAGGGGGCTCACTTGACATGCTGATCACGAATATCGTATTTTTTCGCCTATTTCAGTGATATTACGGTAGATGTACGGTAAAGGGTCAAAATCTGTTTTCGCTGCGATTTCGTGTAGGGGATATTCTTTTCGCGCATTAACGTATGTTAATGGAATCAAGGTCAGAAACTCGGATTTGGCAGGAATTTATGTAGGGGGTATCTTTTCGCGTATTTGAACGTATTTCGTGAAATTGTGGTCGGAAAACTCGGAATTTACTGAAATTTCGTGCAGAGGACTTATTTGACATGCTGATCACAAATATTATATCTTTTCGCGTATTTGAACGTAATTTCGTGGAATTAGATCAGAGACTCAGATTTCGCTGAAATATAGTTTTCTCATTTAACTTCATTACAGTTCTTTTTCTCCGATCTTGTTCACACTTTAGAATACAATATTCATGCAGAATCATCAAAAACTTGCCGAACATGCTCGCATTTTTCATGCTGATGGTGACAATGACTACATTGTGGAGCATTTTACATTCACAAGCAAGGAAGAATATAAGGTTTAAACATGATTTAAATGCACATTGTCCGTCTTCTTATCTTTATCTTCAAGATCTGGAAGGAGACATCAGAAGAAGCGCACTTCATCAGTCGCTTCACTTCTCATGTCAAAAAGACGGAGAACGACAACCTCATACATGTGGTGTCACAAGGCATTCTGCGCACCTAGTGATAGACCAGAGCATACGAAAAAAGCTGTTATATATTGCACGGCTTGCATGAAAGTACATAACTATCAATCTTGTAAATTTATTTCTGTGACATATATAGTATATATATCTTGTAGGTGGAAGAAAAAAGTGATACTATACTAGTCGAGCACTGCTTCACACCCTGCGGACATGAAGCGGAGCCATCACAGCTGAGGCTGGACGACAGCTCGGAGAAGTACATCATGTCGCTGTTGATGGAAGGCCTTACAGTCCGGCAAGTGCGTGAACGACTGAGAATAAAAATGAGAGGGGGGCCTCGCACTAGACTGTTTTATACTACCACAAGAGACATTAGGTAGATAAAATGTTTGTCAGTTCGCAAGCAGTCACACTCATATACAATATATGTTGTTATATATGTTATTGTTATTGTTCGTTATGCAAGCTGCATGTATTTCCACCAAGTGCTTAGCAATTTTCAAATACCTTTCATTCGACCTTTGATTACAGCTTCAAGACAGCTGTATTCAGTTGCTAAATTTGCTAAATTTCCTGTCACCGGCTTAGAAGATGTTGTCACAGGGGAGACCCCGCTGCAGGTGGTATTCTGAAGGTGATTTTCTAGTTGCTTCATTTAGATTTTTTGATTGTCATTTTGTTTTTCGCAGTTTCAATGGATGGATAGAATGGCAGGAAACGTCAACATGACAGCATCCAATGAGGACATTTCAGTTTCACTCTATTGTGACATCAAACGTTCCGCGTGTAAATCTACTAAGATCTCCATCAGTGATTCCATTCAAGGTTAGTGCGATGAAACTTTCCCATGCCTTCACCTTTCGACATGCTTGCAGTTACGAAGTTTTGTTGTCGCATTTTACTCTTCCTTTGTGTAACTGTCTTTATTTTACGTTGTTTGCTTGATAGGTATTGCGCTGGCATGCCTTCGCATTCTGAAGCAAACGGTTCCTGAATGGATACTTTCATCTGCCATGATAACAATCTTGAAGTGAGCGCTGCTATCATCAGTTAATTCGGCCTGAGAACTCCTATCAAGCCCAATGCTAAAGTAAGCATTACAACAGTAATGCTTTGCTTGCCTTTCTAGTAGGAACTTTGGGCTATTTCCGCTGAGGTGAAAGAGAACAATTGCAAGAGACGTTTGGAGGGCAAGCTTCGTCACAGTAGTTTCAAGTGAGAACAAAAATTTTGAATTGTCCAGCTTTTGTATTTTTCTCTAGGGTGATACTTCTATTGTGTCGATGTTGGCATGTTTGGCAGCTTCACTGATTCCAGTGTACCTATAATGAATCTTTTTAAGTCATGTGTTCTTGCCATCAGTGGAGATGAGAGGAAAATAATGTCATACCAAGAGAATGGGTAAGTTATATTCTTTGTAACTTACTTGCTACTTCTATGTTTTCCATTAGTTTGTTTACCAAAAGTGACCCCTACATGCGGCATCCCTTCCATTTATTTGTTCTTGTTTTTTTTTATATCGAGAATAAGGCATCAGTGATTCAGATTCAAATTCTTGAATCTGCATTATTTCCAGCTATAGCAAGGTCGAGGTGATGAAAGTAACCCTATCATGCGATCATCGTGTTGTTGTTGGAACTCGGAGCCGTTTGATTTCTTCACTCCAAGGTCTTTAGAAAAACCTCATACGAGACTTTTTCTGAACAGAAGTGAAGGTATCCTGTGAATAGTGATTAAGTGCTTTGGACCAATGCTTTCTTTGATTTAGGAACACGTTACTGTAGGCGTTTTTCGTCATTGGTATGCGTCTATGCGATTTCTAGTTGTGAATGTGAAAATGATGTCTTTCCAAGATTCGCATTGATTTCTTGTACCATTCTTTCTTAGTTGTTTTTATTCTTTACATCGAGATTTTTGAGACAGGAATGTTGAATCGTAGGTGGAAAGCATAGTACATGCCATTCACCGTTTACTTGGTATTTTGTATTTATTTATCCACGTACTATAGAATTCGAGAATCTCTGATCTTTGAGCTAATGACTAGAATTGACACTGTGCTAAAATCATCATCTATGTATTGGCTGTGGTGTAGAATTAGTAGATTCTAATAAATGTCTTATAATTCTTCTTTTCATGTAGATATCAATTTGCCGACAGTTATCAAGAAGACTTTTATTGGCTTTTCTGATGTAATGACTGAGATGAGATAGAATCCATTTACCTTGTGCAATATCACCTCATGTAGAGCTTACCTGCGTTTTTCCTAGAGCATCTTCGTCTATCAAAATCAGTAAAGGAAGGAAGGTACTAAGCTCACATGCGAGCCTTCTGTTGTTGTAAGTAAATAGGAGACGATCTTTGATGAATGTGAGATCGGATTTTCCAGGGCTTGTTTTCGAGTACACCATCTACTTGCCGTGCGTAATTTTGGGGCTAATGATAACCAGCTCGGTTCAAAAGATTTGCCAATTCTTTGCATTAACTTACTCTTGAGAAAATTTGTTTCCTTCTCAGGATGTACGTGTGTATCGAACATGTATCGTGAATCAAACAAATCTCGCTGCCGCATACGTGGACCAATCTACGAAACCAGGCATAATCTTCTGGATTGCAGCTGAAAATCAGCAGGTTGTCTGTTTCTTCTTATCCTTGGCGCGTATTCTTGTCCTTGGCGCAAATGTTCAACTATTTTATTACATTTTTACTTACATTCATTACTTACATTACATAGATAACAAATGAATGTTTTATCAATTTCATCAAACAACTATGCGTGTTTGCAAAATTTTCGCCTTTGTCTATGCTGCTTCACTTTTGAAACACAGTTCTTTTGCTGCAAAAATGTGCACTCGTATGAGACCTGCCTTACGAATCGTACTTATTTTTGCTTCAATTGGTCTTCATTTTGAGGCAAACGTATGTATGCTTGAGAAAACAAGGTATGCGAAAAGAGGCGCTTTCTAATTCAGTTTTTCTAATACTTTTTTGATGCTAACAATCGTCTAATGCGTTCTTTACAATCTCATAAATACATATGTTCAAGGTTATGGAACTGCCACACAGGTGCGATGGGTTCATGATCAAAAGCCAGCCTTTCACAAGCTACTGTAACTCCAACGGCTGCTGCCGCTCGCTAACCAGTTGGATACTGCTCCCGGCCAAAGCGGCATCGTGTACATGATGTCTGAGAGTTTTTGTTGTACTTTACGGAACTCTTCGTCATTTGATTTTATTCTAACATTTCGTTCGTTTGTATTTGGCTACAGTTCTAATCAATAATTATCTTACTTTATCTCTCTAACTTTTACAATGCTGCGCTTTTGAATATTAGTGAAAATTTAAAGTATTTTGATATTTGCTGAAGTTGTGAGTTAATCGTAAATTAGGTGAAGTCTAACAACACACCGGTTGGACAAAGTAAATATTTACTTGATTATAATCACACCAAAGTACCCGATGTAGGCAAACATGGTATGCTCGACATTGATTTTACAGTGACACAAATATTAACAATAGCATAAAGTCTACAGAACCCTGTTTCTGGCAGGAATTGTGAGGAAAGTACGCATCCAAAGAATCCTTTGTTGATTGTGTGTCTTCTCATCGTAAAGTAATTTCGTCTAGGAGCGCTTTCACGAATTTCTCGTCCGTGCGACTTATTTGAAACTAAAGATCCACATCAGAATCTTACATGAAATAGGTACCGGGCAAGCTTCGCGTGATTTCAGTAGAGACGCGATTTGGAAACGCAACATTTGCTCAACAAATGGGGGCATATTCTCAGACACTAGGACCGGGCGAGCCGCGGCCTCAAAAGGCCTTTCCGGCCCGTTCGCGGCCTTAATTTGTGGGCGTGGCCGAAGTGCCGCGGACCTTAATTCATGTCAATATCATTGCACCGGCCGAGCCGCGGACTGAATATGCCTTCGGCTCAGCCGCGGCCTTAATGATGGGGCTGGAGCATTGCAGCGGCTGAGCCGCGGACCAAAATCTCTTTAATGAAACTCCGGCCGAGCCGCAGCCCATTCAGGTAAGGTCCGCGGCTCGGCCGCTCCCAGTATCTGAGCATAAAGTATACTTGCGTGATGTACGACGCATGGTCAGGCTGCCTTCAGTATCCATAGCCTTTAATGTCTTTCCAGTCTTCAAAGTGGGAACAAGATCAATATGTTGTACAACCTTGGATAGCATCTTGTGTTGTTCAATGTTGAAGCCGGACTTGGTTTCCGAAGCCGCTATATCGGTGGCCTCAATTTTTGTTTTCTACTGTGTATATTTTACGTACCAGTGGTTAAAAAAACAGCTCTACCATGTTCGAGCTAGAATGAACTCAAACGACTCGACAACCAGCTCCGGCTGAGCCGCGGCCCAAAAGCGGACGAGCCGAGGCTGTTTTCCGGCCGAGCCGCGGCCCATCTCCGGCCGGTCCGCGGACGCTGCGAAATTCCAGCCGGAAAAGGTCCGCGGCTCGGCCGCTCCCAGCGTCTGAGTTACGAGTACTCGAAAGTTAACGCTGTGCATTTATAGTCTTATCTGGGTTAAATCGCGTGTAGTATGCCTGGAGCCACGTTTCCAAAGAGAGAAATATTAACATTTTCAGTTAATGCCCCTCTCTTCCGCCTTTCTTTAGATCAACACCGAGCGCATAAAGTGAAGGATGATACTACACACCTTTTCTTCCTTCCAAAAATAAGAATGGCCGCGCAACCCATCATTGCTTTTTGACAGCATTACCAGAAAGGCTACAGGTCCCTATGTGCATAACCCATGGAGTGGACATAAGCCATAGCTTGGACTAGTTGACGGAAAAAGTGACGAGCTTCTGATTCCTCAAGCCACTCCTTCCTTACACTATAATAGAACATCTCACCTTTACTACAGTACTGAAACCGCGAATGGAGAAGTCGGTTCAGAAATAGAATCGTGCATACAAAACTAAAACTAGAAAAAGAGAAGCAGACCTCCATTATGATATAGTTTTTTGAACAACTAGTTCTTGAAGATGTGGCGCTGAATGTTTGCCAAATAGACATTTGAACGCTGATAACGTTTTCCAGAGAATGGCATCGCAGATAAGGAAGGTAGATTTGGAATCAGCACGTCGAGACGCATCTAATGATATGCGGTTCAATCCAATTCGTCACCTTAAGTTGGGATTGTTCCCTGTAAAGATAACCAGCAGCGTCAGTGTTCCTGCTACATAAATGGACCAAACTTGTCGCCGAGACTCTTGCTGGACTTATAAACTAGATTATGACACTGTGGATATACTGTAAGTATGATTCTGTAGTAAAGAGTTCTACCTGTATTTGAAAATTCATGCAACTAAAACAAAGCGTGCTGTAAATAAACGTTGTTGTTTATCACGTTCAAAGACAGAATTAATCTTGAGGTAGAATAACAGATAATACCATTCAGTTCAGCTCAAAGGTGCTTTATACCTTGGAGTAGAATTTAGGTCAAGTTAGGTTTTACTATTTCTGATTATGAGTGCCACTGGAGGATTTCATATGTTCTTGAAAAAGGGAATTTTGCAGATTACTAAGTTCACACACAAAGGGTTTATGTGTAACTTGCATACATACAGACGCGGTTACAAACTTACCGCTCTAAATATGAAAATAAGTTACTTGGAAATCTGTGGTATGTGCCCGATACACCATTTTTTGTAAATCTATCCGGTTCTCAGAATGCCTTCATACCGCGCCTGCAGCCGACGCTAGCAGCCCGTAGCAGCCGCCAGCAGCCACCAACAGCCCGTAACCGCTGCTGGCTGCTTTTGTTATAGAAGCGCAGAATCTACAGAATCGCAGGAAACTACTTTGAATGCTCCTGCCTATTCTTCTTTGCCGCCAGTGGGTAGTTCGATCTCACAAATTATATTTATGTCCATTTCATTACAATGTCGCCCCACGGTCATCCTGTTGAAACATAGTTCGCAAAAGTTTCTTTCCGGTGTGATTCCTTCTGACTTTGGATGCGTCCAAAACCTGCAGGTGGCCATTTGTTTAGTTTTGATTATGCTTTTGTTTCAATTTTCTTCTTGGCTATCGCTGCATATCTGAATTGCATTGTCTATTTCGCAAGTTCGCCGAATTGATTCGCGAGTGGGTTCTTTCAGCTTTGACAATGGCTCACATTCGTTTTAAACAAGACAGATTGCAAAAGTGAAATCTGGGCACCATAGGATGCAATTTGCGGCAGCAGAACAATGAACACAAATGTATTATGTAAGATCGAACTACACACTGGCGGCGACAGAAGAAAAAGCGTGGAAGATGAAAAGGTAGGAAGGAGCACTCAAAGTAGTAAAATTCTGATGATTCCGATGATTTTTCGCCTCTATAACAAAAGGGGCCAGCGGCGGCTACGGGCTGTTACGGGCTGCTAGCGGCGGCTGCCGGCGCGATATGAAGGCACCCTCACATTAAATTTTTAGTCAAGCCATTTATCGAGTGTCTCAAAGGCAGTGGCTCGGCAAGTCTCAACCTAGCCAAATTTGCGCTTACCTGGGATTTTTCAATACGTTGATCCCGAAAATCCACTTTTGCAAGCTTGAAAACGGCGAAAATGAGCGTTTTTAATGCCCTTCCCTTTTTGGACGAGTGCAGCAAGGCCGATGACGCTAAATCGTGGCAGGATCCAGTGGTTATAGCGTTGCGGCGGGCAGCCTCCAATGGTGAGAAGGATATTGCCAACTCGTCCAGATGCGTGTAAGATTGGCCTGCGCGTGTAAGAATGAGAGCGACTTTCTCGGCAGGGAAAGCATGCTGTGCAACCGGGATTGCACTGTTTTCATACTTGGGCGATAAGGGATCTACCGCGTTAAAATCCCGAGTTGTTGGATTTTGCCGATCCACTGCCTTTAAACTGTCGAAGTCAATGCGTTCTTGTCGCCTGGGCACTAAGCAAGGTGCTGTTTTTTGTAAAAGTTGAGAATGTAGATTGCGATCTTGTGCGATCCGACGGGGTGATGCAAACTTAAGATTCCTTTTTTTGTAAAGAATACGACATTTGAACCATAACAAAAAGTATTTGGGACAAATGTCTCCGTTTTTTGACTGACAATGACCGACATGTTATTGAAATGCTTCCTCAAGACTGATCATTGTGACTTCGCAATTTGTTAAAACTCATTATCGTCAGATCTATTTGGCATTCAGAAGTACGATGCTTGGTGGAAAAGCCAATCGTCCAACATTTCAAAGCTTTTCTTGGGATGACTCTTTTTTCTTATCAAAGACTATATCATCACTTAATAACATCCCATAATGAAAATATCATAAGTTAGCCTTCCCGACTTTTACACACTTCAAAGCGCACTAAACGATAATTCCAAATCTGTCTTCACGATCTACCAGACGCTTGATGTTGAGTTATGAGTGTTTTTGGAGCGAAATATGAACGCAGATTCTATAACAAGTGAAATCAATTGTTATGGTCTTTCCAGCGCCTAAAGAGAGCGGTCTTCAGTTTGAATATGTTGGGCAGAAAGTATCTATTGCATGAAGTGCTCTGATATTACTGAACTATATCTTTGTTCCAATACCTTAATTTCTTGTTTCCAAAGAGAAATACTCACAATTGGCATCCAAGAGCGCTTAGCAGATAATGAAAATTTGGACTCACTTTAATGCTCTCTAAGCTGGAACCGATTTCATGTGGAGAAGCCGTTCGATTAAAAAAACCTTTCTTTGCCAGATATAAATGCAGATCTTGCAGCTTCGATGTAGAAATACAGACTGTAATGTGTGATAGCAGATGCGTCTTCGCATCAAATTTCCATATCGAAGTCTCACCTTAAGCGGCGTGGGAACTATTCTATTCGTTTCCTTAATCTTAAGTTCTGCTATACTGCATTTGCATCCACCTATCCCAAAAGTTCCAGAGCGATATACATTTCGTGAGTTTTTCAATGCTATCAAAATACCAGATACAGTTATCGCAAAATGCTTAAAAATTATCTTTAAATGTTCTTTTTGAGGAAACTGCACTTATTTTAGGTGCTGATTTTGCTTCCCTGATTGAAGCTATCAAGAATGGCTCATACAATACTTCTTCTTACGATAAAGCTAAACTGCTGCCTCCATTTCACCGTTATGTGGAAAGATTCGAGGTGATTTCCCATTCGCCTTCAATTCCATCCTTGTCTTGAAAGCTCATCAGAAGATTGATAGAAAGGAATCTGTGTTGACTATCTGTGACTACGTCTAATCTTGCGCAAAAAAGCTTTTTTCTACTCATCAATGTAAGTAGTGAGATTTGCGCAACCGTTGCAGTATTTGCTGTGCGTTGAACACTCTTAACTTTTTTGCCTTTTCTTGCATTTTCTACCGTAAAGCAAAAGTAGAGCATCCAGGTCTTTATGCTGTCGTGCGTAACTGCAGAGTTTAAATCACCCACACCAGTCGTCACGAGAAATTCTAATGCGATGAGGAGCTACTAGTAAATTGAGTGAAAGCAGAGTAATCAGTTGGCTCGCAATTGCTTCCTTTCGAATGTGTGAAAAAAAGAATTACTTCATGGCAGCGATGCTGCACTAAAGAAATCGTTCGACAGGAGCTACTTGTGTATGGACTGTAGCCGAAGCCGAAATCTAATCATTTCATAACTCGGGCTGACATAAGTGTTCAAGATGTTTGACAAAACTGGCTACAAAAATTATTCCATCTACCTAGATTGCTAAACAAAGCCCTAAACACTCCAATCCACTCTTTGCAGCATCAAGTACTGAACCTTCATTCCAGGATATGGCTACGAGAACTTGTTGTTTAGGTAGCTAACAAATATGATTTGAGCATGTGTCACATACAAAAAATCATGTCTACTTTGTTGACTGGAGTATTCTGCTATTTAAACAAACCTCTAATGTTTGAGGCTCGAAAAAAGCAAATTTCAAAAGAAAACTGGATGGAAGGGTGAGCAGACCCTTATCATTTAACATCTGCCATATGTTGTACTCGATGTTTGAACCTAGAAATGACTTAGCCTTTGCCGAAATGATTATCATGGCTATTCGATAGCAGATGTGCTAGGTACACGACTTAAGTTCGTTGTAATTCGCGATCCTATCGACAGATTCCTCAGCGGATTTCTCGACAAGTGTTTGTAAGCACTGAGATCTAAAATGAGGTTTGTGAATAGTTAGCATAAAAAACTTGAGGAGAAGCCCGCCAGCACTTTGCTATGGATGTCGAACAATCGGCTGTTTCATTATAAAAATGCAATCTAGATTATGGAGCGAGTATGAATCAAGCAAGCCTAAGCACGATATTATGGAAGATCACCTTGCTCCGCTGACATGGTAAGCATGCATGTCGACTAGATTAATGACCAAACGTAGGCTATGTAAAAGGACCCAATTTTAAATATTGTATAGTAAAATATTACACTCTTACATGATGCATCAGATAGGTATTGCGACTTCAAGGACTATCTTCAGTCGTTTATCGTTATCAAGTATAAAAGCGGACAGAGTGGGAGCCTTGAAATAGCAAAAGTACTGGACGAGATTTTCGAGTCGGCTATGGTTCCCAAATTATTACGCGATACGATACGTCGGGAAATTTTGAGTGAGCAGTTTTTCTCATTCCGACATAATGAAACTTACTTGTGCTCTTAATAGTTTACAAAGTACATGGAATGTTGCAGTTGGTAAAGTTCGACATTCTACATTTTTCACAAAAAGGAGGCGAGAAGTTGAAGAAGTAGTATTCAGAAATCAAACTTTGCTTGATATATTACTACATTTGTATTACTATGATTATGTTGTTTTTGATTTCGATTTGCCAAAGCTGCGCTAACATATTTATTGAATTTGCATTTGCTTGACATTGACATGAACTTGAGGACAAGTTCTTACTCTTTCAAAACCTGCACCGCGTTCATTTTGAGGATGATACGTTATGGAAAAATTCTATGCAATCTGATGTCAACTTTTGAATCCCGCATCCCTACGGCTGCTGAATAAGTTTCTTAGATCTGATACCGTTGCGCGTCTTGATGCTTCAAAGCAGCACATGCCAAGCTTGATGTCTCTAGGCAAAGTAAAGGGAAAACTTCTAAAATGCTTCTAAAATGCTTCTAAAATTGATAAATTAGCGTGCTTAATATCTCAGTTGGCGAGTTAGTGTTAAAGAAGGAGGCATTTCTACATGATCTACTCTACAGAGCTCCTCATTAACTTTGACAAAATATCCTTTTTTACCGGTGCGTCTCTCGCCAAGTTGAACTGTGCACGAATAGATAGTATTTGGCTAATACACGCCTTTGACTGGAATTTTATGAGGGTATGAATAGAAGTAATCTTAAAATAGTATTGAATTGAATTTTTTACAGTTACCTAAAATTGAATTATGTGAGGAAATGTTGCCAGTGCTGCATTGTTTCACGATAATAACCTTTATTTGCATTGACTATATGGTAACCCATGCAATTCACAAGTTCTAAGCTGGAGCCAACAGACACCATAGCAGATCGTGTATCAGGGAGCAAGTAGCAGGCTACGACGTAGCACGAAGGCGGAAGACGGGGTAGAGAGGGTTGAAACCTCAACAATACGAAAAATGAGAAACAAGCTCCCATAGTCATACGAATCGATGGCCAAGGGCAAAGAAGTCCTATGATGTAGAAGGCATAAAAATGGAGTCGCAGGCAGAATACGCATAGCGTTGATGAGCTGGAGAGCTTGCTAGATATAAGACCAAAGAATGGATCCATTTGAGATGAAAACCATCTGACCGCATTGCTTCACAATAATTGCTAGACCCGTAAGCTGAAGCATGAGGGAAGATCTGTAATGACAACAAAGATGCTCAACAATCAAGAGTGGATTTTAGGTGTCGGAAAAATACAATTACAGTGTAATAGTTAAGTTGTAACTCTCCTTTTGGAGAATTCAAATGCTGCAATCTTCTCAAAATATCTGTTTCATCAGATAGACACTAGCGTAAGTGTCCATGCTGAATAGGGAGTGGTCAGAACTCAACTCAGCCATACCAAACATACTGTATATCATCGGACTCGCCCTGAAACGGTGATCACAAATATACGTTTATTATCTGCCAAGCTACTGTCTGGGAGGATTTATGAGCGTGTAAATGTGCGATTTATCAAGTGTTCTGTTGCGCATGTTCCACGAAATAGGTTTCAACTATTAAGGTTTTTGGTGACTGTACTTCTTCTGTGTAATCAAAATAACCATAGCCACGTAAATCTGCGCCTCAGGCAGCCTTTTAAGAAAATATATCCGTCGAAAATTGTAAAGTTTTTCATATTTGAACGTTCATAACTCCTCCCAGATAGTCGGTTGACAGATAAAAAAAACATATATTCAAAATATGCGATTCAAGGCGAGTCCGGTGGTACACAGCTTGTCTGGAATGGCTGGGGTAAGTTCTGCCGTTTCCTCGTCAGCTGATTATTCTAGGTTCCAATAACGCTTGGCAGCATTTGAAGCACCCATGGAAGGTGGAGGGAAGGTGCATAGAGTAAAGAAGAAAGAGCAGAGACGACGGAACATTTAACTTCGTTCGGAGATTTCCAAGGAATCTCAACGGAATCAGCAACATTATACAGGTTGTCTCAAAAAATCGGCACACTGTTTGATCGTTAATAACTCTCTTGCTTTGTCGTTTTTCATAGATTTTTGGATAGAGCTTGGTTGTAATTTGGATCTGCAAAGCTAGCAATTTACCAATTTCTCTTCGATGCTATAAGACTACTTTAGGAACATGCAGCTTATAGCGCCATCGCTATAGACCATTTAATAAAGGGATTCCGAATAATGGAAACTTTGTGGCTGAGTTTTCAAGCATGCTGATTCCATTACAATACTTCCTACAAACTTACTGGTGTTTTTAATACTGTAAATCACTTTGGTAAAGTACTGGAATAGCTGTTGCTACGGTTTACTCGGAATAGCATACGCAACCTACTTTCATACCTCGAACACCGTCTTTGCTTAGCTTAGTATGGAAGTGTTGGCTTGTCTGATTTCCATTCTGGAGTAAAACGCGAGCTCTTGTAAAGGTCAATAATTATTATCAAAATGACTCTCAATCTACTTTATAGCAGAGATCATGGGAATGCAATTTTTTGGGATTGCTGCAATAACCAAGTTATTGTTAGTACTCATTTTCGCATTTTTTTAGCCTATATCTCTAATTCTTAAGATCCAAAAGATAAGCAACTGCATATGAATACTTGACGTGAATAGACGAGCAAGCTGGAGGTTTGTAGATTGTTTGAACGGAGATCCGACTTACTTTTTAGTATCTGAAATTTCTCAAACGCAGGGTCCCGAACATACCTAAAAATATTGCTCAACCAAACCTTACATTTTTATTAGGTTAACGAAAGTAGTAGGTGCTACCAATCATTTTGCAGATCATTGCTAAGATTAGCAAACTCTGGGAACAGGTGCTAATAAGTGCTCGCGTCATGAGCGCAGCCATTCTCGGAGCTTTCTCGGGCAATAAGAATTTGATTGTAGACCTATAATTGTGCTTTAGATTATTTTCATGTAGAACTCCAACTTGCTCGCAGTCAATAATATCTCAGTGCTGTGGAAACTGAAGCGTTAGCTTATGCGCATTACTGCTCTAGCATTTCGTTCTAATTATTAAGGATGTTGAAACAAAATCTACACACATTCACTAATTGGTCATCCCAACTTCGCCTCGATGTAATTTTTCGCCCCAACCTTTCACAATAAAATTTTAGTCTTTACGAGCAATAAGAATTTGAGTGTAGACCTATTATGTGCTTATTTTCAAACATATTTTCAAACAGAATTCCAACTTGCTCGCGGGCACTAAGATCTCAGTGCTGTACAAACTTAGGTTATGCCTGAAACAACTAAGTCTTCGGCTAAAAACAACACGATGATATTTATTCCGACTGTCAAAGTACCACAGCTATTATTTGATGGACGGATTAGAACTTACACCGTTTTATGGTACAGTTTTCTATGCATCATCTCATTATCAGTGCATCTAGTTTTTCTGATTGTAAGTGCGTATCTCTTGTGGATATTAAGCCTCTTAAAACTACTTCTTGAGGGTATTCGGAGGCTGTGCGGGTGGAATTCAAAGTTCGCTTTCACTCTTCTTTTTGTTGCTTCGTTATTGTCTATGGTTAGATTTATTGTGCAGCTCATAGCTTGCACAACAGCAATACTGTATATGGACTGGCTAATGTATTCGACATTGTGGACGGTGACTCAAAATTCTACTAGCAAGTACACAACAAACTCTCTCAGGTCCTTGGTTCGATTGCATATGCACCATATTTCACAGTGGTGATAGTAAACATCGCTATAACGTTACATCGCCTCCTCTTCACAGCTTTCCCGTTTGAAGCCAAAAGACACCTCAGCGAAACTGCGTTAAAGGTGGGCTAAAGCAGATACGAGAGCGGGCTGCAAATGAGATCAAGGAGAAGCATTATGATAGGAAGCTATTTTACTTCCTTTGACGTTTCCAAATCATGGATATGAGATTACTTGAATTACTGGAAAAAAAAGCACCATCTTGATTCGAACTAGTCATTTACAAATTGGGAAAGAAAAGATTATATTTTAC